GACTCAGAAACAGAGGTGGACTCTGGAACAGAGGTGGACTCAGAAACCGAGGTGGACTCTGGAACAGAGGTGGACTCATGCTGGTGAAGATTCTCAGTCATCCAGGACATGAAGAATTCAAAAAGCGTTCAATACAAAAACAACTGGACTTTATTTGTAACAGAAGACGTTTCGCTCCTCATCCGAGGAGCTTTCTCAATTCAAAGAGCAGAGAGTGAGAGATTCAGGTTATAAGGCTGAGTGAGATAAGACACACACACATATGTAGATTGGCAGTTCACACCTAAACAAACTTAACAGTAAGAGTCTTTTGTTCCTCTAATTCACAGACGAGGCCCCTTTGTTTCCATCAGGTGTGAAAACCGGCTGGGAATCTGTCTTAAAGTTGCATTATAGGTTTTTGAAAGTGGAAATCTGAGGCCTCCTCCTCTGTTAAGAGACGGCTTTTCTCTTTTTACATAAATTGCTTCCTTCACCTCCCTCTCAAACCATCTGTGTTCTCGGTCCAAAATGTGCACATTTTGGTCCTCAAAAGAGTGTCCCTTATCTGTGAGGTGGAGGTGAACAGCTGAATTTTGTCCAGAGGAGGTGGCTCTCCTGTGTTGAGCCATGCGTCTGTGAAGAGGCTGTTTAGTTTCTCCAATGTAGAGGTCTGGACAGTCCTCGCTGCACTGGACCACATACACTACACCACTCTGTTTGTGTATGGGTGTCTTGTCTTTAGGGTGGACCAGCCTCTGTCTGAGAGTCCTGCTGGGTTTGAAATGTACTGGGATGTTGTGTTTGTTGAAGATCCTTCTGAATTTCTCTGATACTCCAGCAACATAAGGGATGACAATGTTTTTATGTCTGTTGTTCTCCTTTTTCTGTTTATTGGTGTGTTTTGTAGATTTCCTCGCTGACTTGACAAAAGCCCAGTTAGGATATCCACATGTTTGAAGAGCTTCTTGAACGTGTTTCAGTTCCTTTTCCTTCCCTTCTGTCTTCGTGGGGATGCATTCGGCCCGATGTTGTAAAGTTCTGATGACAGAGTTTGTGGTCCAGTGGATGGTGGGAGTCAAACAGAAGATACTGGTCTGTGTGGGTTGGTTTTCTGTAAACTTCAATGTTGAGGCTGTCCTCTCTCTCCATCTGAACCAAACAGTCCAAAAAAGGCAGTTTGTTGTCGTTTGCATCCTCTCTGGTGAACTTGATGTTATCGACCGAGTTAGTGTCTGGTGAACGCTTCCATTTCCTTGGCTTGGATTTGGAAACAGGTGGACTCTGGAACAGAGGTGGACTCAGAAACAGAGGTAGACTCAGAAACCGAAATGGACTCTGGAACAGAGGTGGACTGAGGTGGACTCTGGAACAGAGGTGGACTGAGGTAGACTCTGGAACAGAGGTGGACTCTGGAGCAGAGGTGGACTGAGGTAGACTCTGAAACAGAGGTGGACTCTGGAACAGAGGTGGTGTCATATCTGTTGAGCAGGAGGTTCAGGAGGAGAACAAAAGGAGAAAGGTAACAAACAGAGGCCTGACAGTGGACCTCTGACCCGGTTCTGTGAAGAGATCCCTGAGGTTAGATGAGGAGCAGCAGGAGTAGAGCATCTGTGTCGAATGGAAGAGAAAAGGCTGACAGGGGGAGCACAGATGGAACAGGTTGATCTCAAACCTGGACCCGTCTCTGGGACTGGATGCAGGGAAATGGTCCAGGTTTAAACAAGAAGAATGTGGACCCTAAACACACTGAAAGACTTCTTTAAACCAAACAGCACAAAAACATTTACAGTCCAACGTTTCTATCCGTTCTTGACTGACATGAACTTTATGGTCCTTTTGGTCTTTAACGGTTCTTAAAAACCGTTTTTTAACGGCAGTGGTTTTTAAATTGTCTGAATTTATCGAGGACTTTCTCTGATCCAGGGTCTAAATTATACAAACAGGCTCAAATATTTACATACGCTCACCTGAATGTGTTGAAAAGTGATTCTGAAGGTTCTAGAATGTCTCTTAATTTGACAAGGTCTGAAGACTTCCTGTTAGTGGTCAGGACTGAGCGCGGCTCATACTTTTGCTCTCTGCAGAAATTAACCAGTCACATGTGTTGTTGTATTTTTAATGTCGTGAACAGTGACTGCAGAAACTGTTTTCCAGAACCTTAAGTGACGCTGCAAGCTTTGATGTTTAATTAAAACTTATCTCAATGAGAATCACAGAACCAAAACTCCACACTTTAAAAGAGGGCGGGGCTCTGGATGCCATGGGGTGCATGGACACATGTGAGACATTCATGTCCTTGATGAGGACAGAAACCTCTGATCTCGACCTGTACACTGTTACATTATGAGCAGAAGTCCTGCAGCAGAAACCAGGACTGGATGACCAACAGGTCCCAGAGAAAAACCAGCCTCTGAACCAGTGTTCAGTTCTTACCTTGCAGCGGGCGTTGGGTCCGTAAGTGTCTTCAGCTCCGAGCACCTGGACGTTGACGGCATTGAAGTCGTCCAGTCCGAGCTGGTGAAACATCCGTTTGGTTCTTCATGAAACAACAGAACTGGGATTAGACCTCACAGAGCCCACCGGGACACGAAGACGAGAATAGGAGGACTGAGTGCTGGTCCTCACACCGTTTGATGATGCTGTCTGCTGTTCTCCTGGACTTCTCTGCTGCCCTCGGGCCCCCGACAGGACACACCGCCGTCGCTCTGAAACCGTCCATGTAGGTGGCGCACACCTGGAGGACGAAGGTGGACAGGAGGACATCAGGACTACAGTCTGACAGGATGAGGCCATGAGGTTCTGCTGATGTTTCACCTTGTAGTCGTGAGATGGAGGGAAACCTCTGGCCCCGCTGACTCTGACGGCTCCTCCTTCCACTCCTGCACACAATAAATAAACCTTCAGATTATAATCCTGACTCATCCACAGTACAGATTGTTAATATTCTTATTTTGGCTTTTCCCTCTTCAGGGGCTTCCACAGAGAGTCCTCCTCCATCTCGCTCAGTCCTCTGTGTCCTCTGTCCTCACTCTGTCCTCTCTCCAACCACCTCCATGTCCTCTCTAACTGCATCCATATGTCTCCTCTTTGTCTTTTTCCTGCAGCTGCATTTCTAACATCCTTCTACCAATATACCCACTGTCCCTCCTCTGGACATGTCCAAACCACTGTCCCTCCTCTAGACATGTCCAAACACCATCCCTCCTCTGGAAATGTCCAAACCACTGTTCCTCCTCTGGACATGTCCAAACCATCTCAGTGTGTCCTCTCTAACTTTATCTCCCAGTTGTTCAACCTGTGCTGTACCTCTGATCATCTCATTCCTGATCTTCTCCATCCTTGTCTCTCCTAAGGAGAACCTCACCATCTTCATTTCTGACACTTCCAGTTCTGTCTCCTGTCTTTTTGTCCATGTCTCTGTCTCCAGACCATACAACATAGCTGGTCTCACCACTGTCTTGTAAACTTTTCCTTTGACCTTTGCTGACACCCTTTTGTCACAAATCAATCCTGAAACTTTTCTCCAACACTCCATCCTGCCTGGACTCTCTTCTTCACCTCTTTACCACATTCCCCATGTTCCTGGACAGTGGACCCCAAGTCCTTGAAGTCCTGCACCTCTTTTTCTCTTCTTCACAACAACAGTCATTCTACACACAACCATCCGATGCTGTCTGGCCACGCTCTCCCCTGCCACAACCTTACAGTCTCCAATCTCCCTCAGGTTTCCTCTTCTACACAGAATGTAGTCGACCTGCATACTCCTTCCTCCACTCTTATAGGTCACTCTATGCTCCTCCCTCTTATGGAAATAGGTGATGACTACAGCCATTTCCATTATCTTGCTAAAATCCACCACCATCTGTCCTTCCTGGTTTCTTTCCTTGACACCAAACCTACCCATCACTTCCTCATTCTCTGTTTCCTTCACCAACATGTGCATTCAGGTCTGCTCCCATCACCACTCTCTCCTCCCTGGGAATACTCTCTATCACTTCATCCAGATCTTTACAAAATGTATCTTTCTTCTCCACATAACATAAAACCTGTGGAGCATAACCGCTGATGATGTTTAGCATCAGACCTTCTACTTTTACCTTCAGGCACATCACCCTATCTGACACTCTTTTCACCTCTACTACATTCTTTACCAACTCCTCCTTCAGGAACAGCCCTACTTCATTTCTCTTTCTATCCACACCATGGTAAAACAGGTTGAACCCTGCTCCAATGCTGCGAGCCTTGCTGCCCTTCCACTTGGTCTCTTGGACACATAAAACATCTACCTTCCTTCTCAGCATCATGTCAGCCAGCTCTCTACCTTTGCCTGTCATTGTCCCCACATTTAGAGCTGCAACCCTCAGTCCTACATTTGTCACTGTCCTCTTCTCCCTCTGTCTCTTTCTCTACAAAGAAATAATCTGTTTGAAGAGTTTCAGTCAGGGTTTAGAGCTCATCATAGCACAGAAACAGCACTAGTAAAAGTAACTAATGATTTTCTCATGGCCTCAGACAATGGACTTGTGTCTCTACTGGTCCTGTTAGACCTCAGTGCTGCATTTGATCCAGTTGATCACAATATTTTACTACAGAGGCTTGAATATGATGTTGGGATTACAGGAACAGCTCTAAAATGGTTTAAATCATATCTATCTGATAGATTCCAGTTTGTAAATGTAAATAATAAATCTTCATACAACAAAGTTAGTCATGGAGTTCCTCAGGGCTCAGTGCTTGGACCAATACTCTTTACTTTATATATGCTTCCATTAGGTAAAGTTATTAAACAACATGGGATAAATTTTCATTGTTATGCTGATGACACAATTATATTTGTCCATTAAACCCAATGAATCCAATCAGCTACTTAGACTACAAGCATGTCTTAAAGACATAAAAACCTGGATGACCCTTAATTTTCTCCTGTTGAACAGACAAGACTGAGGTTTTGGTTTTTGGACCTGAGCACCTTAGGAATGAATGTTTCAGTCTTTCTCCCTCCTTAGATGCATTAATCTGTCCTCCAGCTGTAATGTTAAAAATCTTGGTGTTATTTTTGATCAGGACATGTCTTTTATCCCCCACATTAAAAACGTTACTAGAACCTCCTTCTTCCACCTGCGTAATATCACTAACATTAGAAACATCTGATCTAAAGATGATGCAGAAAAACTGGTCCATGCATTTGTCACGTCTAGACTGGACTATTGCAATGGTTTATTATCTGGGTGTCCAAATACTTCTTTAAAACGTCTTCAGTTGATCCAAAATGCTGCTGCCAGAGTCTGAACTGGAGTTACTGGGAGAGATCATATCTCTCCAGTTTTAGCTTCTCTCCATTGGCTCCCTGTCAAATCCAGAATAGAATTCAAAATCTTACTTCTAACCTACAAAGCTCTCAACAACCTAGCTCCATCTTATATTACAGATCTTATTGTTCCATATTTTCCCAACAGAGCACTTCACTCTCAGACTGCAGGTTTACTTGTGGTTCCTAGAGTTTACAAAAACAGAATGGGAGGAAGATCTTTCAGTTCTCAGGCTCCTCTCTTGTGGAACCAACTTCCAGTTTCTGTCTGTGAGGCTGACACATTGTCCAGTTTTAAAACTGGGATTAAGACTTTCCTTTTTGATATATCCTATAGTTAGGGTCGGCTTGGGTTTCCTGAGCTGTCCCTTAGTTCTGCTGCTATAGACTTAAAAGACTGCTGGAGGACAAACTGACCACACTTTTCTCTCTGCTACTGTCTTTACTTACTCTGCTCAACCTGTTTTGTATTTGTAATTATTTTTTCTATCCTTAACATGTTTTTTTTGTCTTTCAGGTACACCTGGACCTATATCTGGACCTGGACATATACCTGGACCTATATCTGGACCTGGACGTATATCTGGACCTGGACCTATATCTGGACCTGGACTTATATCTGGACCTGGACTTATATCTGGACCTGGACCTATATCTGGACCTGGACTTATATCTGGACCTGGACCTTTATCTGGACTTGGACCTTTATCTGGACCTGGACCTATATCTGGACCTGGACCTATACCTGGACCTACATCTGGACATGGACCTATATCTGGACCTGGACGTATATCTGGACCTGGACGTATACCTGGACCTACATCTGGACATGGACCTATACCTGGACCTACCATTCTGTGTTGGTCTGTCTCTCCTTCCTGTCCTCTCAACCAGCCGGTCAGAGCAGATGGTCTCTTGTCCTGAGCTGGTTCTGCTGGAGGTTTCTTCCTGTTAAAGGGAGTTTTTCTTCCCACTGTCTCCACTGTGCTTGCTCAGGATGGGAGACTGCAACGAAGCCAAGATTCATCTTGTCTGCTGGATTCCTTAGATAGAGAACTTTACTAACTGGCTTTTATGTGAATGTTCCTGTAAAGTCCCTGAGACAACTTGTTGTGATTTGGTGCTTTATAAATAAACTGAACTGAATCGTCTCCTGACATGTTTCCCTCCTCGTGGTCTTCAACTAACACTAGCACAATTTCCACCGACACCGTTTGTCAACAGCACCGGTGGTGGTCTTTGTTAACCCGGGCCTCGACCGATCCGGTACGGTTTAGAATACCATTATAAATAATAATGTATAATAAAATATAATCCTGACTTGTCCAGATTACAGATTATAAATAATATAATCTGGGAACAAGGATTGTGTTTACTCCGTGTTCAGAGTTTTATCAAGTTATAAACGGATCATAATAAAAATACGTGGCCCTGATGGTTCTGTGAACCCGCTTGGGTCTCCTCCTCCTGTCCATAGCATCCTGTCAGCCTGAGAACAGCTCCCTCTGTGCTGTTCACCTCAGTTTGACCCCAACTTCAGAACCAGCCCCGACCCGTCCTGGGTTCTGCCTCCCTCGTGTGTAAAGATAAACAGCTGATCACAGACACGGCTCAGAGTCCAAAAGTCTCAACTACATGAAAATATTTACGTTTTTACAGAAACAGGAACTACAAGCTCTGCTCCGACTCAACCGGGCCGCTGGTTTACTGGTGTTTTAAGATAAATGGGCTCTTGGGGGGGGGGGGGTGTTGGAATTCAACCCAGTTTTCAGCAGCAACTTTTCCTACACCAACATGAAGCGAGGACCTGGTTCAGGTTCTGCTCACAACACGGTACATCTGTCAGTGTTCCCCTGGTTAACTGTCATGGAGGGGTGCTCATCTCATCCATGGTTTATGTTGACGGGGGGACGGGGACTTGTCTGAACGCAGCTTGAACCAACAGTTTTGGAGCGGGGGGGGGGGGGGGGGTCAGCTTGAGAGAAGAGGCAATGTGAGCTCTGCCTTTAGCTTTTAGCTCAAGAGCCTGTGTTTCGCACCGCTAGCTTAGTGCTAGCTTAGTGCTACGTCAGAGCCGGCGGGTGGGGAGGTGGGGGGGGCAGGTTCAGTTCGGTAGGTGGGGTGCTCAGTTCTGTGGACGGGGTGGGGCACCCCGCTTGTATGATGGTAGAGGAAACACTGCTGTCATCTAACACGGGCTGGCCAAAGTAATGTGCACGGACAGGACAGACAACGTGCACGGACAGGACAGACAACGTGCACGGACAGGACAGACAACGTGCACGGACAGGACAGACGACGTGCACAGACAGGACAGACGACGTGCACAGACAGGACAGACGACGTGCACAGGCAGGACAGACGACGTGCACGGACAGGACAGACGACGTGCACGGACAGGACAGACGACGTGCACGGACAGGACAGACGACGTGCACAGGC